CCCGGCCCCGACGGCCGACCGACCCGGCCCCCCAAACTCTACCAGTTTCTTTGTGCCAAGACCACGCGCACACGTCGCTGATACGAAGGACGCCATAGTGATGCCCCAACACCAGGACACTCCCGACGTTCCCGGAAGAAGTTATCCTCGTGGTCACATCATGAGACAGGTGCAAGTATGTGCACACTAGACGTCGACAACAAGAGTTTTGACAAACATTATCATATATTTTCATTTACCCTCGTGACACGCGAATATTTTGTTATCCGAACGACAGTCGGTTGTTTACTTATAAATTAAAACAATTTTGTCTTCAAACCTAACTTTCTATCACAATAATACGGAATAATGACTGATCCGAGATACCATTATTTTCACTTTGGCGGACATTGAAGATGTCTCTGTGGTTACCCAATTGTGACGTCGAAAGCCTACGTCTTCTTGTCACTTTTACAAGGACAGGAATTAGCTCTGTAACACCTTAGCCTCTCTAAAAGTATAGTAAAACAATAGTATATTCAAACAAGAAAAATATTCGCCCCACAGTACAGCTATCCCGACTCCCCCACGCTGAACGACTCGTCGCTGGTGCCGCACAGGTCCTCTCTGGAAACTGACTGCAGACTGGACCTGCCACAGGATTTCAGCTCCGTTGAATGATTTCAAATGTTTAACTTTGTAAGTGATTTAATAAAAGCTAATGACAATGAACTCAGATGGAGGTTGAATAAAATATCAAATGTATTTCTTGCCATTACATATTCCTGGACATTTAGTCAAAAAATTCTCTAACAGATGTCTTTAATCATAAAATAATTGGCTGGCAACAACTTACTTTCAATCCTTCCACTTTTACGATACCAACTTGAACTGGCTTATAGCATAAAAAAGATTTAGTACTATTTTCCACCTGAGGCAGGAAGCAATCTGTATGTGCACTTATGTTGTTATTACGTATTGTTCTGTTTTCAAGGTCTTAGACCAAGTCCTTAATCTCTGGAATTAGAAACCAGGACAAAGCTTGATCCTTTCTATGGAGATAGGGGCAATGTTTTGTATAAAGCTAAATGTAAAAAAAAAAACAATGCAGTTATATAATTTGGTTTTGTTTACAACTGTGAGGACTGAACAGAATGCCAATGCCATAATATGTGAGTGAAAGATATTAAAGCTAGTTATGTGGCAAAATACCATACAACCACTTAATAGGAGACAACCAAGTCAGTAGATAAAATACAGTAAAATAAGAAAATTAATTAATTAAAAAAAAGATCAACAAAATTAGAATTAGAATCTGCTTTTAACTCATCCTAGTACCAGGAGTCTAGTACTAGGAGCAGTGGGCAGCTAGTGTACAACGCCAAGGGAGCGGGGGGGGGGAAGGGGGTTGTCCGGTGCCTTGCTCAAAGGCACCACGGCAGGGCCCAGGAGGTGAACTGGGACCTCTCCAAGTAGCAGTGCACCCTCCATATTTAGGTCTGTTCGGGGACTTGAACCGGTGACCCTACGGCTCGCAGTCCAAGCCCCTACTGACTGAGCCACTGCCGGATAATGTGACGTAATGATGTTTTGCACTTGTCTTTTTTTGTTTTCATTAATTGGTTGGATTTAACAAACCAACTCATGAAAACTTAAGAGGTTGTCGCCAAAAATAAACCAACTTCACCTAATGATACAAAAAAACAAAACAACAACAGCAGTGATTCATACCTGTTGCTTCAGAGTCTATAAATATAACTTTTTCCAAGTGCACAACATTACACTTTTTTTCTCCAATATGGTTATAAAGAAAACTTGAATTCCATCACCTGTACACAGGAGTTGAGGTGGTTTCCAAATAGTGATGGCTGGGGGGGTGCATAAAGGGGCTGAGTCGGGGGCTGCAGGGCACGAACACTAGAGGACTAGCTGGCCCACTACCCAGGGACTGAAGGCTGCCATCCGAGGGCTGTCCGTTGGCGTCCAGAGGAGGAGAGTAGAAGCCCGCCGTGGAGTGGCTGTAGAGAGGGGTCGGGGCAGGAGTGGGGGCCGCATAGTCGTAGGTCCCTTCAATGAAGTCCACAGTGGCTCCAGACCCCCGGCTCTCTTCAGGGTACATGTCACTGAAGGGGGCCTGCGGTGGAGGCGAGGGTCGCTGCGGGGAGAGGGTCTCCAGCTCTGGGAAGGCTGGGCTGATCCTGGGTCTGAGTGCTGGTCCACACGGGTGCCTGCTCTGCGCCGGGCTCTGCCTGAGTAGCATCACAGCACAACAGCACTGATATGCAACATGATTTAGACTTGCTCTCCCCTTTGCTGGGAGGGGGAGTGGAGACGAGTGCTGCTCTCTCTCTCTCTCGCTCTCTCTCTCTCTCTCTCACTGTCTCTCTTTTCTTTCTAATAAAGCCAACAAGCAACTTGAAGAGTCCGCTATTCTTCCAGTCCCTTTGCCCTATTCGTCTCGAGCTTCAGCCTACCAAACTAAAAAAAAGAGGAAATCAAAAAGACTCCTCCCAATCTCCTTCCAGGTTTCTTTTTGTCAACAGAACCCTTCCCTATATCGCTCTAGTAATTATCCACTAATGTGTGCAGGGAGGGGTAAATAAACAGAAAGCGGCACAGAGTAATAGCCCTACATCTCTCACACCATTTTAAAAATGCTCTCTTCTAACTGTATTCTAACATTGTAAAGCTGTTGATGGTTGAAGCTGGATAAAACACATCTGTAAACAATAAGTAAGCAGTTTAATTGATCTGATACTCGGCAAGCTATCAGCATGACCGATCTATTTGTAGCCAGACTATTGAATACACCTGGGACTCTGCGGTAAAACAAAACACTGTGGAAATGAGAAACAGTAGGACAAAGGTTGTAAACAAAAGGTGGCTACAAGAAGCCAAAATCTACCTCCGTGCACTACTCACCTCTCACACAGGAATCATCCTCATCTCTGCTGTGCAGCACTGGGACTTCTCTCTCCCTCTCTCGGAAATCTAGCTGATATCATTGGACACAATGGGATCAGTGGGAAGGTTAAAAAAGAGGATAAACAAATTAAAGAGGCTGCTAAATCGATGATCAAACCACAGCATGTTTTAGTGCCAGGTCACTTTAACACAGCAAACAGAGCAGGTCAAATCTCATACCAACAGCCAATTATTACACAATCATTCCCCAATGAGTGGATTCATGATTTTTTTTTAATCACATGACCACAAATAAATACTTGAATTAACACTACCCAAAACATTTACAGAATACTTTTTTTCTATTTTTCTAGTGGCACTTTATTTAAAAAGGAAGATGCAATATTGGTTAGGAGCAGAATATGTACAAGTTAATCATTACTCTATCAGGCAATGATTACAAGTCAGGGATGAGATAGAACACTGTAAACAAATTAAAGCAAAGGAGCAGTGTGTGCAGTATAGATTTAAGGATTCAATGATACAATGTTGATAGACATTTGAATAATACAGGGCTTGAAAAACAATATAATAATTTTCTAGTGAAACTTTCAGATGACAGTCAATAATGCAGGAAATGCATAAGATAAATAAGATCAGCAGCCTCTCCCTCGGAGGACAACGTGAACATTTGGCACAGGGACCAAAAATTCCCCTTCTGTACAACATCTTTCTTGAATAAACAGCCCAATTTTCAGAACATGTCAGGTCAAGTGTTAAACAAGTAGCCCTAATACTTATTTCTTAGAATTACCTCCAGGATAAAATGGAGACACTGTGGCATTAGAAAACAGGAAAATAAAAGGGTGAGATTGGAAAAAGCTAATTCACCTACATGGCCCGAGAAGCTGGGTTGCTTCTTGCCATAATTGACTTGATATTTATGACAGACCAAATTCACAACGCATGTGAGCAGCCTGAATTATGCCTAAAATGAATGTAGCAGCATTACCTAGGTCGACCCTGACTGATGAAAAATGTAACTAATGGATTCTCATATATAGACACAATAGGCGCTTTCACACCGCAGTACTTTTCCCACAAAGGTTAATCAGAACTTAGTTCATGAGAACTCTTTAGTTCTCATGAACTAAGTACAGATCGCGTTCACACCGGAATAAGTCCCTGAGGAAGGATTAGGCCAGGGGTCTGCAACCTTTTTGACCAAAAGAGCCATTTTGCTCCTTTTTCCAAAACATTTTTTTGTCTGGAGCCGCAAAACATATTTCATAGCTAATAAAGTTGTATTTATTGTTATGTCAGACAAAAACTACAGTTTTTTTTGCATTTATTAGGCTATTTACAACAGTATATAAAACTGTTAACCTCCAATAAGAAACAAAGAACTCCTATAAGGAGAATTAAAAAATAATACACAGGCCTACTTTAAAATAAATTAAACACAGCACTTGGGGAGTCCTCTGCACATTTGAGGGAAAAAAAAAATTAAAATGGGCCCACTTGTGAAATAAATAAAACAGATAGCTGCACCCTAAAAAGAGTTAAAAGTAGGGTAGGTAAGAATGGAGAAACCAGCTTGAGTGCGCTAGAATTTGAAAATACACAACCGGAAAAAATATGCCTCTTCCTTCGGACTTTCTACTACCAGGAGAACTCAACGCATGTCGGTTACCCATGTCGGTGAACGAGGCAAAAGTCAAAAAAATTGTACCAAAAAGTGTTTGTAAAAGGGGCGATCCCGTATCCTTATTAAGTAAGCCCAAGCAAGTACTAGAGATCTACACTAAACGGGGTTCGATGGGACCCATTTAATGGCATGTCGGTTAGTGTTTCGCAGTTACGCACTGCAGTAACCATTCTCTGCCGGGGCTTGTGTTTACCCATGAGACCCCTAGACCATGGCCTGTGGCCGAATTTTACTAACCAGCACTGAATTATGTCGCGATGCCGAAGGGTCTCTAATTAAAATCAATACAGTAAATAACAGTTTCGGTAAATATATAAGAACGATAGCCCTGCATTCTCGTAAGTGTACCTTTATATTGTTTTCACAAAAGACTTTATTAATGTAATGGGGTAACTTAATACTGACTTCTTAGCCAGTCGACAGAAGCGGAGAGGGCACAACAAGGAGCTACGCATTCCGACCGTCGTGGAAACCTGTTGAAGACGATATGTATAGTTTGATGGCCATTTCGTCGTAGCAAACGAAACTTTCGATATTGAGACAGGTGTGTTTTATTTAGACACAAGGAGGCCATGAAAGAAACTAATAGGTATCAAGCAGTAGCCGGCCCCAGTCCGATAAGCGGAGGTTCTTTTCCGCGGAGCGCGCCCTGCATCGCCTAAATTAAAACACCACCCTAGTCTCTCAATATACGAAAGTTCGTTTGCTACGACGAAATGGCCATACAAACTATACCATATCTCTTCAACAGTTTCCACGACGTCGAAATGCGTAGCTCCTGTTGTGCCCTCTCCTTCTGTCGACTGCTAAAAGTCAGTATTAAGTTACCCCATACATTAAATAAAGTCTTTTTTGGAAAAACAAATAAGACTTACGAAGAATGCAGGGGCTATCGTTACCTTATATAATTACGAAACTGTTATTATGTATTGATTTTAAATTAGAGACCTTCGGCATCGCGACAAATTCTGCTGGTTTATAAAATCCGGGCCACAGCCATGGTCTACACAAGCCCATCGGTAATTAAGCACAAGCCCCGGCAGAGAATGTTACCGCAGTGCGAACATGCGAAACACTAACCGACCATGCCATTAAAATGGGTCCCCGGACGAACCCCGTTTAGTGTAGATCCTAGTCTGCTTGGCTTAACTTAATAAGGATACAGGGATCGCCCACTTTTACAAACACTTTTTGTACAATTTTTTTTTACCTTTTTGCCTCGTTACCGACATGGCCGGAACCCGACAATCGTTGAGTCTCCTGGTAGTATGGTGCCAGTTAAGTTGTAAATTTGTATCGGGAGGTGAAGTAAGAAATGAAACAGGCAAAATATACCATCTTCTACTTGATGGAGAGACCTTTCCAGGGTTACACAGTAAAAACTACCCGTAAAGAAGACTCAACCAATTTGTAGTGAATTACTAAAAGACTGAAAGACTGACGAAACCTATATATACTGTGGTGTTATTCCAAATGATAGTGTCACGTGACTCTAAACACGTTTGACATTTCGTGAATGCGTAGTGACATGTGACATTTTGTTCCGCCAAAACGGTAGTGAATGACATGACTCCGAGTCAGTGACCATGTAAAAGTAAATGTTTCGGTACAACCTATTTCACAGAATATAGACGAGGGACTAGAGAGCCCGTTTAACCTTTCATCGAATAACCGGACCCTAGAGTACGACACCAAAATAATTTTACCACGTTCACATCCGACAGAATCCCTCTTTCGAAAATCTACACGTCGAGGTGATTGAACCTTGTCAGACGGTTTTCTTACAATTTTAATGGTTCGACCATGGTGATGTACAAATTTCGAGCCAACCTACGATGTCATTCTACGACAACCATGGACCATGTACCTCTATCTGATACATCTTAACATTAGGACATTAAACACGACATACTACAGGAAAAACAAAAGACAACCAAATACAAAAATACAGAAGTCACCTTTGGATGACGACCGTCCAGAGGGACTTTAGTTCCTCTAAACTAGAGTTACCCTAAAATGGACCTATTTTTCCAAAACTTAACTTACAGCTCGTAAAATTGACGTCAGTGAGTTTACGTATTTGACCTCTTAATTATACAATGTTCACAATGTCTTTTTTGTATAGGTTCACAATTTGTTGTAGGTCATAATTGGAATGACAAAAAACGATTGTCATTGGTTGATTATTAAAAGTAATTTCAACGTATAAATAAGGTTTTAGTGTTATATATATAATATATATATATATATATATATATAAATATATTATACCGTGTTACCATGGTGTCATAGGCTTTGAGAAATCCGTGACCAGTCTCGTAAGTACCTTTTCGTCTAGTGGTCTTAAGGTTTATGACCATTTTATGCAACGTCTTAGTTTAAAAGGAACAGACTTCCTCTTTGGATTAAAATTTTGTTGTAAAAAGTCACACTGACTTTCTTTCAGAAACTAGTTATTATTTTGGATCTATAAACATCATCACTGGAAAGTTACAGTTACAGTTTCAGGGAACCTTGTCATGTTTACAACCCCTCTTTTCTTCAATTGAAAAACGGTAACCTCTTATAGTACTCAACCTCAACAGACCGTAAATTTAATGATTGAACTCAACTCTATTTACCCTACCTTATTGTAGTTTCCGTTGACCTCCTTTAGTTCTGAAACGAGATATCTTCTCCTACTTGTTATTTATTGTCATATAGACGTATTTTTACCTTCGTCGTAACTTTTTTTTTTGAATAATCTCTAATAAATGTATTCATATACCACTTTAATAACAGATTATACCTTGGAACCGCGT